CTTCCTCCTCCTCCTCCTCCTCCTCCTCCCCCCCCTCTTTCCCCCCCCTGGCCAAACCTTTCAAAATAGGCCGAGAACTTTCCTGTCCTTTTCCTTGGGTTGCTGGCATTTTGATTTTCTTTTGGAAAAATCGAGCCTGGCTGAGTCCGTCCTCGTTTTTCCAACTTGCCACATTCTTCCTTTATGGAAAAAGCACCTACTGTCCTAGATTTTGCCTTAAGGTTTTTAATGTTTTTGACACTGCCCCCCATCCCAAAATAACCCCCCCCCCACGAAGCCTTAGACAACCACCACTGCTTGAATAGAAAGCAAGAATGTCTCACTGGATGAAAACAGCTGTTTTGCAATCTCCATCTCTCCTTTCCACTTGCAATTCTGTTATTTTTGCAGATCAAAATAAAGCAGTGTTTCTCAACCTTGGCGACTTTAAGTCCTGTGGATTTCAACTCCCAGAATCCCCCAGCCAGCTGCGCTGGCTGGGGGATTCTGGGAGTTGAAGTCCACAGGACTTAAAGTCGCCAAGGTTGAGAAGCACTGAAATAAAGGGTACAGTTGAATTTAGGGGAACTGAAGATAGGCTTTGGAAGGCAGGTTGTGTTTGGTAGAGCCTCCTTAGTCCAGATGTAGATGCAGCTGCCCTCCAAATTAAGACCTATTCCTGCTTGTCGCGATCCTTATACTCCGATGAAATCCTAACTCATCCATTCACAAACAACAGCAAACATGGCTAGTTTCTAAATCTTAGAATTTGGAGAGTCTGTCAGTCCCAGCATCTCAGTCTCCTTCTAAAAAAAAAAAGAATAGATGAATTGGTGTGTTTGACAAAAATAGGCTACCATCTGGCCAAGCTGAAGAATTTATAATGATATAATCATCCTGATATCTACTCAGAAGTAACGCTAGGAGATGTTTGCCTCCCAAGAATAAGATTCTAAGCTTCTGTATATAAATTTCTCCAAATGGTGGCTGAAGGCGATCAACTTAGTCTTTACCAACAGCTGGCTAAATCTTTGAGGATTACGTCTCCTGGAATTTTAAAGATTCATCTGGGATTCATCATTGCAGCACATCTGGATCGAAGACACCAGACTCAAAAAGGCTGGTAAAACTGATGTTCACTAGTATTCCTCTGCTGCAATGTTATCTCCGAACCAATGGACAGTTCCAAACCATGCTTATTTTAGGGAACTGCCATCTCTAACTTCATCTCTGCAGGATTTTCCTTTAGGATTTCACTTTGGGGTTATTTTTCTTGAGAAAGCCTGTCCACAGTACTGAGTTAATTGCTGTTTCACATAGCAGAATATAGATATTTTCTCCTTAAGGAACTGAAGGAGAAATCCAGAAAGTTCTCTAGCATGGAAAGATTCCCTTTCAACATTATTTTCCCCCAAGAGCAGGAATAACTCTAATCTTTCTGATAGCAAACATACTTTTTTCCTCCCATCGTCTCTGGCTTCACATTAAGCTTTCGTTTCAACTAGCTGTGCGCTGTCTCCCAGGGCAAGCTGAACTGTCAGGAGATATATTAATTTACCGTAGGAAATGTTGTCTACATCCAACCTAGCATAAGTACAACATGACCCTAATCAAGATGGCCAGAGAATTTCCTTGAGCAATCCTCTGCTTCCTTCTACCTTCTTACTTACAGCTGGGGACAAGAAACTTGCAAGATGGAAATAGGCCGTAATCACATGCAGGAGATTATTTTCCATTTTCAAGATGGCTAAATAGACTGAAGGAACAGAGAATCGCATGTATTTTGGGGGGTTGGGTGCAGTGGTGGGTTCCTACTGGTTCGGACGGGTCTGCTGTAAGGAGATTGGCACCTGCCCTCTAGCAAATATTTTTATTACTCCTGGAGCCCTCACAGGTAGCATCTCCCCAAAATTAGTTTGTGCTTTTTTAATATGCAAAATAAGAAGCAAAATAGGTTATTTTACCCTTCCCGTGCTCCATACACCCTTTCTTTCGCCCCCCTCCAACTTTCCATCTTCCCTCCATCATTCCCCTCTACCCTACTTCCCCTCCGCCTCTACCACTCCTCTCTCCCAGTACACTCCCT